CCCCGCATGGCACAGGATTCAGCTGGTGCACTTGCATCTCAGTGTGCCAGGTATATTTAATACAGAACAGAGCAAAATGAGGATCCAGTATTTTTTTTTAATTCCTCCCTTTTACCTCTCTCAATTCCCTTATTATCTTCATCTTTATATCGTTTCAATGTTCTGAGTTTAACATTCTCAAAACAGGACTTGGGGTTTCTTGGGGGACAACAACTAAGTAAAAAATTGTCGTTGTAAGGTGCTTAGGGGGTCCTAGGAAGAAAGAGAATCAAATGAATCCAAGATCTTACTGCTTCACCACACAGGGAGAACTTACATAGGGAAGAGCTTCAACTGCTACCTGCCTGGGAGTCCAGGGCCAGTTTCGACCAGCAGGAATTTGAGGCCACCAGACCTGGTCAGACTCAGGTTCCTCATCTGTGCTGTGGATTTTGTTGTTTGTCATTAAAAAATTATTTGGAGTCCCTCCCTGGTGGTGTAGCAGGTTAAAGCACAGCACTAAGAAGCTAAAGCCACTTCAGCACGAGTTCAATCCCTGTCCTGGAGGTGACCACTTGGCTCGGCAGACCTCTCCTGACCCGCCCGCTGCTCCCCTCAGCAGTGTACTTTGTCAGTCGACCTGTCCTGCTCCCCACTCTGTCTCTGGTGAGTCCTCTCACTGCCCCTGCACCTCTGGCCTGTACCCCAGTTCTGTATGCATAAATAAATAAATCTTTAAAAAAATTATTTGGAGGTAAAAGTATCACAGAAAGCATGAGATTCTATTAGCAACAATAAGCCCTTTCCTCAGTTCCTTCACCCAATATACATGCTGTGACGGCTGAGGTGATGGGGGGGGGGGTAGTCCCGGTGTGTCTGAGAGTGCACCGGCTGCCTCAGAGTGAAGCAGAAGAGACAGCTCTGGAGACAGACAGGTTCAAATTCCAGTATCTGTGTGACCTTAGACGCATGATTTAAACGGTATGAGTGCCCATTTCTTCATCTGTAATGTGGGGTCATTAACTCTGGTGTGAAGAGTGCCTGAAATGTGTGAAAGACTCAGAAGAGTGCCTGACAGAGAGGAAGGCCTTTCCAAGGCAGGATATTCTGGTGATTATTACTGTTTAGCACCATATCCTCAGTGCATGGCATGCAATAAATATTCGTGGAGGGAATGAATGAATAACTGAATCACTGTATTTACTATTGTAGCCCCAACTTGCGTTAGAGTCCAGTCAGCTCTTCAGCTTGTTTCTATCCTCTTTTAAGTAAAAGGAACAAATGGATTTTTTTTTTTCATTTTCCGCTGCCCCTTTTTTCATCGACTCCCCCCAGTAAGTCCACCTCTTTAAGCACAGGGAAGGCCAGAAGAAAGTGCTTTCCAACCGCGACACTGTACTGAATTAGCATGGGGAAGCTGCAAGGGCCATGGGCTCAGTCACCATCACATTCATGGTGCTTGAGCAATGTACTTGGTCTTATCAAGCCTGTGCTCGGTGGCTGCTCTCCCATGACGCTAAGTCTGCTGGGAAAACAGTGAAACCATCGCGACAGCCTGCTGTGCATAGAACAGGTGTCAGTATGGGGGTGGGAGGACGATGGGAGTAGGTGACTTCCCCAGGGAGAGGCAAGGTGGAGTGATGGCGGGGGCAGGGCACTGGGACCCGTGCAGAAGACCGATTTAAGTCAGTGATGGCGGGACAGAAGAGGAGGGAGAGACAGGATAGGAGGAGGAAGAGGAAAAGCAGGAGGAGATGCAGGAAGAGGAGGAGGAGAGGGGGGCGGAAGGAGGAAGAGGAGTTTTCCAGAGAGAAGGGGAGGAGCTGCCCTACAGGCAGCACCGGGGGAGAGGGGAAGGCGGAGGGGGCCTCCTGCCTCACTCTGTGACAGTGAGTCGTTCAGAGCGGCTGAAATGAGAGGGGGCAAGGGAGGGGTCAGGAGGGGTAGGCCGGCAAGTACCCAATGTGTGAGGAACAAGGGCAGGCTTCGCTAATGTCAGAAACATGCTGGGGAGACCAACAGGTAACGACCTTCCCATACTGACGACATGACGCTTCCCCTGGGGCAGGGGAGACGGTGGTGGGCAGTGAGGAGAGCACTGTCAGGAGTCAAGGGCGCTGGGGAGGGCCAAGTGGCTGCCGTGTGGCCTTGACCAAATGATCGCCCCCTTGGGGCGGCTTCCTCATCTGTGAAATGAGCAGGTTGGAAAATGGGCTCCTTAGCATCCTTTATGGCTCTAGGATATTAGGATGATCCCTTCAAGTCACGGAGGGCTGCCGTGGTGGGGCGGGGTCCCCTCAGAGCATTTATTAACTTGTGCTTCCCACAGTCATCACTCAGAGGACCCAGAGGGACAGAAGCAAAATCAAAAGACATTTCAGAAGATAGATGACAGAAGGGGGCTGACATATGTGTGAGAGTTTGGGGAATTTATGCGGACAGCCTTGCAGTCATAAATAAACTCCTTTTCTCTTACCCAAAATCTCATTCGGGGGGTAAACACTGGACACTGTAATTTGGCTGTATCTCCCGCCCCATGCCTCACTTGAATGAAAAACAGCGGTCCCAAGGCAGGGTAATGGGCTAGGCCGCCTCTTTACAAACATCCATATTGTCAGCGGCAGACAAGCGGGGCTGAGGATGGAACAGGCGGGACAATTTATCTCTGTGATTCCTGGTCTCTTCTTGAAGCCTTGCTTGCACAGCCATCTATTCTGAAGCTGGGGAGGGGGCCACTGGGGAGCGAACCCAGGGGAAAAAAAACATGGGGAGAAGTGCCCCTGGGGAAGTGGAGCAGAGCACCCCCTCCTGCCCAGCCCCCCACCCCCGCCCCAGCTTCTTGAGGACTTAGGAGACCCAGGGCCGTCCACTCGGCTCCAGCCATCTGTGTACACGGCTGCCTGCTGCTAAGCACAGCTACTTGTGTTTTCTTGACCTACTTCTCTCGCCATCCCTGCCCTACTCCAGATTCCCTCTGGGGTCCATGTAATTAGCACCTTTCCATCCACAGAGATCAGGAGACTTTCAGAAAGCTTCTGGGCCCCAGGATAACCAAGGAAACAAGAAAAACGGATCCTGGCACGGCTGTGGAGGCTTTTCTTTTATTTTCTTTCTCTTTGTTGGCTTAACTCCGCTTCCTGGCCTCGCGGGAGTTAGGCCCGGTTTGACCTTGCCAGTCAGCAGGGCCCCTGGCTGGAAACCCGCTGGCAGTGGCCTGGCATGAACCAACACTCCAGGCCGGGGGAGACTTAACAGAACTGGACGAGCAGTGCTCCGAGTGTGAGGGTGGGAGTGCGAGGGGTCCCTCTCATGGCCTCTGTTGTTGGCATAACAGCCAAGAGGGGGATCTGTCAGCTCCACTTTCTGCTTCCCTCCCGGAGAACGAGTGTCAGGAGAGCTGAGGCCGGGAGGCGCCAATTCTGGCTCAATCCCTTTCCGTTTCCCATTAGCAACAAATGGAAATTGATGGGTTACCACTTTATCCGCTCATTTAGAGGGGGAGAAAACCCTCCGCAAATGCTGAATAACTGTAGGCATCTTATAAATTAAGCATCTTAAGGATACGCACCGCTTTGCATTGCTGCTGAGCAGAATTAAATTAGGTTTTGAAGTTTCTGTAGAAATGAATGGGGGAGAGGGAGGGAAGGTTTTGTTTTTAATTCCCGTTTTTTCAGCTTGCAGAGTGGAAAGCCGAGGGCAGGGTGGTGGGGAGAGAACCGAGTCACCTGTCGTCTTTCTGACTCCAATCAGCTGCTGTTGCAAATGCATGAAGAGACGAGCCCATGTTCGCAGACTGCAGCACAGCCTTGGCGAGTGACACCCAGCCTGGCCAGGCCGTGGCTTGATTGCACTCTTCCCACGCAGGCCCCCTGCCCATGACCATCCTCTGGGACCTTAGCACAGCCACCTGACAACAGGAGGAGGCCAGGAGCTTGAAGCCAGCGCCCAGGGCTGGGCATCAGGACAGCTTCCTTCTAAACCAGCCCCTGACGGCAGGCTGAGGGCTAGGGTCCAGGACCCTGCTTTGTTCAAGGACTCTACGTTCTTCCCTCTCACTCCCCATTCTGCCAGAGGCGCCTTGGGGGTACATCAGGATAATCTGTCTGGGACTTGGGTCCCTCGGGAGCTCCTGTTGGCCTGGCCCTGGGGCTGCTCCTATAGGGGCCTCTTGCCACCAACAGCCAGCCTGCCACGACTGCTCCACTCTTCTGTCCACACTGACCCCGACACCCATACACACGGAGCACGCCAATCCCTGACATCTCATGTCTGCCCTGGGCCATCAGGTGACTCTCTGCACTGTCTCCCTGTGCCTGGTGCTGGAACTGGGTCCCCAGGACCTGGAGCAGTGGTGCCTCAGCCTGCAGTGCCCAGGACCCTCTTCAGCCTCGGAGGGAAGAGTCACCTGGATTCCCAAGGCCTCTGGGATCCCAGGTAAAGTCAAGACTACCCCAGGGATGGGGGTAATGATGGGGCAAGGGGCAGTGCCCACCCACAGCACAGTGGGCACCTTCCCAAAATGACAGTCAGGATACACATTGCCAATGACCCTGCCCTCCTTCTCCAGAACCAAGCCAGGATGAACAGCCATCAAGCCGAGGCCGGCCAGGGAGCGGCGCCCATCGGTAAGCGGGACCCATGCTTCATCCAAAGTCAACTCCTCAGAAAGCTTCTGGGAATGACCAGAAGAGAGGAGAGGTGATTTCTTCTCTCGTCTCCAATCTGGGTCTGGAATCCCCCCACCTTCATGGAATAGCTGCCCCCTAATCAGCAGAGCTGATCTGGCCACAAACTGTAACAGGGACTAGTCAGCATCTTTAGCCCCTCACCGAGGAAGCTGGGCAGGTTGGCCAGATGAGAGATGGGTGCCGGTTGGCTACCCCCATTCCCACCATCACCCCGCCCCATGTGAGCTCAGGGAGGCACAGGGCAAGGCGAGATGTCCTCTGTGGACACCAGAGGTCTGGGGAGCGGCAGCCCCGACCCAGCTGCCCCTGGGGTGTGGTATGAGCAGCACTTACCAATCCTCAGGGAGTGCGGGCTGCAGGCGACCATCACGAGCCACGCGGGAAGCAGCACCAAAGGCGCCGAGACGCGGGGCATCTTCTATAAATCCTCATGGAGCCCTCTGCTGGTCTGGGCATGACATAACTCTGCAAGACAGGGGTGCCAACAGTGAGTCCCAGGCCCCTGTCAGAAGCCACCCGACCAACCCAATGACCCCAGCTCCCCTGACAGCCTTTGTGGTGAGAGGCAAAATCCTTCCACAGAGCTGCCGGGCCTTCCCCCACTCCTGAGGCACACAGAGGGCTCAGGTCCCTCACCCCACTCAAACAGGTGCAGGCCAGGGTCACTGAGCTGAAGGAGCCTCACAGCTCCACTCTGTAATAATCTCTACTTGGGAATACAAGCTTCATCTGCTCTTAAAGAACGGGAGCCATGCATGAGCAGAAGGGGAAGGTGGCGGGGGGAGGGGGGCTTATGGGATTGCCCCCAGATCGATCCTCGGCACAGGAGAGTGGTGTGGAAGGGGGCTGGGCTTCTCCACTTGCCAACTGGGGCCTTTTGTGTGACTCTTCTCAGGCACTCATCTCAGCAAGCATGGTTATGGCAGTTTTGCCTGCACGGTGGAGTTGCCTGAATGCTCACTAATACAGGGAACGCCACCATGCCTGGCATGGGGCTGTTCACATGTCAGCGGTCCATCCCAGCAAATGCTGAGGGCAGAGGCACACAAGCACACCCTGGCTGGGAGCGGGTTCCCCCTGCTCCAACTGCCTGCTGGGCTCGAGCCCCTCCTCACCCTTCGCCCACCAGCTCTCTCCCCCTTCCCGAGATGAGTGCCCAGATGGCAAATCCAGAACTTGGAGAGCACTGCCTCCCCCCAAGGCAGCATGAGTGTTATCCCCTCACTGAGACCTTTCTGACCTCTTGAGGCCTGAGACAGACTCTGTAGGCTGCCAGTCCCACTCCCATCAGTGGGGTGAGGTGGGGCTAATGAGCACTAGATAAGTAAATCCCTTGGTTGAGCAGTAATACGAAAATGACTCCTCCTGCCCTCCCTTAGCTGGACAATCCAATAGGAAAATGGGTAAAAGACCAGAACAAATATGTCATTAATGACTATCGAAACTTGTGTCAGCACTTATAAAGGTGTTCAGCCTCAATCGGCATGGGGACAAAGCAATTTTAACCCACAATTACATAGCACTATATACCTCCAGAATGGCTATTAAAAAATAAAACAGGGCCCTCCCTGGTGGCACAGCAGGTTAAAACACAGCACTAGGAAGCTAAAGCGGGGCCCTCCCTGGTGGGGCACAGTAGTTTAAAGCACAGCACTAAGAAACTAAAGCTACTACAGCATGAGTTCGATCCCCACCTGCCCCGGAGGTGACCACATGCATGGCAGACCTCTCCTGACCCGCCCGCTGCTCCTCTCAGCAGTGTACTTCAGTGATCTGCCTGTTCTGCTCCCCACTGTCTGTGGTGAAGCCTCTCACCACCTCTGGCCTGTACCCCAGTTCTGTATGCATAAATAAATAAATCTTAAAAAAAAAAAAAAGCTAAAGCCACTTCAGCATGAGTTCAATCCCCACCATGCCCCGGAAGTGACCCACATGGCGAGGCAGACCTCTCCTGACTCGCCCACTGTTCTCCTCAGCAGTGTACTTCCTAGATCTGCCTGTTCTGCTCCCCACTCTGTCTCCAGTGAATCCTCTCACTGCCCCTGTACCTCTGGCCTGTACCCCAGTTCTGTGTGAATGAATAAATAAATCTAAAAAAAATAATAAAATAAAATAGTATCAAGTGTTGGCACAATGTAGAGCAACTGGAATACTCATGTGGTGACAATGGGTATGTAAATCCTTAAGACTGTTTTGCAAAACTAGTCTACTAGAGATTTACACTTACCCTGATGACGCAGGGACTCCACAATTTGGATCTAATAAAATGCATATGTTTGCTCACCAAAGAGGTGCAAGATCTTTCATGCAACATTGAGTTTCCCTAACGTGGTAACTACCTATAGGCTCAGCACCTCGATGAAGAAATGTAGTGTATACTTACACAATGGAATGTTATGAGGCAATGAAAATGAATAATCAATACTGTACAGATGCATCTCATAAATATAATGTTGAATGAAAAGAAACGAGGTCCAAAAGAGCTTCCCCACTCCTCAAAAGCAGTGCATTCTTCTGAGACCTTTCCTAGGCTAACATGGTATAAAGCAAAGAAACAACTGCCATTCACTTATGTGGAAAAATGTCTGTATACTTCCAGACACCCCAGAATAATCTACTAAGTCACACCATGAACCAGCAAACCTAAAATCACGATGACGAGAGTAAAAGCAAGAATGATACAGTTGTACAGAGCCTGTAGAAGGCAGTTCTGGAGAAGGAGCTGGGCGGGCTGCTCTCGCTGCTTGGGGGGTCACTGGCCTCTAGAATGACTGCTGCAAGGCCATCAATTAACCCATTTCATTCTTTCCATTTATTGGAAAAAGTGGAAGCCCCTTCAGTACAAACAGGCACTGAGGTAAGTTGTTCATAAAACTGAAGTGGCTGAAATCAAACTTTTGAAAAGCAGAGGATACCTGCAGCTAAATGTGATTGCGTCTCAACAGAGTCCAACAAAAAAAGAAGTCCAGGTAGTCGTTGCCCTTGCGAGTGGGTAGTGACTAGATGGGGACATGGGGGTCTTCTAGGGTCCTGGTGATGTCCTCTGGGTGCTGGTGACACAAGTGTGCTTTTACGAAAACTCGCTGAGCTGTGTGTGTCTATGATTATGTTCACTTCTCTCTGCTACTCTTCAGTAAGGCACCCACCACCACCACACTCAGTGTCCAGCAAACCAGCACCTCTGTAGTCAGTCTCTTGTGCACGCCTACTCCCCTCTGCCCGAAGGAAGTCTTCCCTCCCTCTGCCCCCCTCCCACCCTCACAAAATCAGGCACCCTTGGGTGCCATCACAGCAGCCCCAGTGGTCTGCTAGCAGCACCTTCCCTGTATTGCTGCTGCCTTTGTGTATCACACCCGGCATCGTGGTGGGCTCCTTAAGGGCAAGGACTATTTCCAGTTCCGTGTCCCCAGGGTCCACTGATATACAGAGGGGCACAGTACACGTCTGTCCAGGGAAGGGAAGGATGCAAGCAGGCGCCTGCTATGGGGAGACAGAGGGAAATAATGGGGAAAGGGATAAAGGCAACTCTGCCATTGGCAAATCAGGTCCAGAATCTTTATCCTTTAATTCATGGGTATTGGTGCAGGAACAGATTAAAGCAAAACAGTCTCGAGGGAAGCTTGACATTCTTACTCATTGCAGATAAAGCTCATGGTTCAGTGATTATCTCCCTACTAGAATATAAGCGCCATGGAGCTGGGGCAGTGGGGAGAAATCATGCTTGTCTCTCTCCTGGGGGCCAAGAACAGTGCCTGGCATATATTACAGTCTCAATAAATGTTTGCTGAGTGGATAAATGAATGAACTGTCAAAGACGAAAGAACTGTAACAATCTGGTTAGGCTATCTAAAAGTAATACTAAATATAATAATTTATGTCAAACGCCTCCCATTTATGCCCGATCAGCACGCTACACAATAATTATTATGCAGACCGCTAAATAGATGTCAGATTAGCCTGTGTAAATTTTATTTGATGACAGAACTACGCTCTGTTCATGCAGGTCTGGTTTTTGTGGTTCACGGCCCACAAACCCGGCTGATACTGGAGGCCACATGTAAGGACAGCTGTGGCCAAGGTCTTGAGCTGCTCTGGGGCCTCAGCCATGTGACTCAGTGCACAACAATGAGAAGTGACCTCCTCCCCAAGTTAACAAAATAAAGAGAACCATCATGTTACCTGTTTGTAGGGTTCAATGATTTGCATAATTCTGTGCACAGTCTTTAGCTTATTTAATCCACAGAACAAGCTCTCTTAGAGATGAGGAGCTGAGTTCAGGAAAAGTGAGGTCAAGGTCACACAGCCATCACTGGGCAGAGCCTGAGCTAGCCTGATCTCTGACTCTCTGGCATTTCTTCCATAACTTAACTGCTTGGACAAGAGAACAATAACATGATGCTTTTATATTCTTCATCAGAACACACAAAGAAAGCACACAGTTTAATGTTTACATGAATCAGGTCTTCTAATCTGTGGTCTTTACCAACTGATATTATTTTAATAATTTAGGGATAAAAAGAAAGAGTGATACAGCATGTAGCCCTTCTTCCCACTGACACTGCCCCTTCCTGGGGAACCCCACATCCACGTATGGTTGATTACTACCTGCTTCTAAGTCAGCAGCTCAAGCCCAGAACTGTTGCACTTAGCTGCCTCCCAAAACCTCACCTGATGTCCCACAGCACTGCAGAGGTGACTGGTCCTCAAGAGAAGGAGCACCCCAGCAGGTGTGTCTCCTGACACACCTTCCTTCTCAGTGGGAGCACCACAGTCCACTGGGTACCAAACCAGAAAACTTGTGCATCCTGTTCCACAGCCCCATATTTAATCAGTCACCACGTTCTGACAACTCTGTTACCTAAACCCCATCACCACTAACTCCCCAGTCCAGATACTTGTCAGCAATAGCCAGCACCTCTGCGCTAGCATCTTTCTAGTCTTCCTCCCTCCGGCCTTTTCCTCTCCTGTTGGTTTTCAGCTCAGCAGCCAAGGGTTCTTTTTAAAAGGCAAGCCTGAAAATGACACGCCCAAGCCCCCCAAATTTTCAAAAACTCTGCGTTGCATCTGGAGTCAAGGAAAAGCCTCCTCTCTTCAACATATTAAATCTTCCATGATCTGACCCCTGTTCATTTATTCTTAGCATGCAGCCTACTTTGCTTGACACTCAGCAGAGCTCAACCCTCCACTTTACCTCTGCATATGCTTCCATGTACAATGCAGTCTCATCGCTGGAAGAGCCAAATCTGTTTTTCAGGCTCACTGCATGGCCTCCCCACTGGGGCTTTCTAGTGTACTGACCTCCCACTTGGAAAATTCCTATTCAGGGCACACAATCTGCTTACGAACCTATCAGTTGTGATGGCAGGGACTGTGGCAAGCACCTAGCACATGATCTGGCATAGAGTAGGTGCTCTATTAATACTGGTTAACAGGATAAATGAACAGATGTATCAAAAGTCATTTTT